TTTTTTTCTAGCATACACCATCACCTGAAAAAAGGCAAAATGGAAATGACAAAGAAAATCAACTCAGGAAATATGACAAAATGAACATAGAAACAATCAGAATTGTGTAACTAATTCCCTTACTTCTGGAAATAAAAAGATTGGACATATATCCCATGATCTGAAGAGGCTACATAAAATTTTATAAAAGGCAGGAGAGTCGTTACTGATGGTAAAATATTACTACATTTGTTAAAGCAATAAAAATCTTAACATTCCATTTGAGATTTCTTAAAAAGCTTCCTATTACATCTCACTCTGTTACATGCATTTTAAAACAGTTTTGTCTCAGTTATGTAAAACTGCATGAATGATTTCCTTGGAAAGATGTGTGTAAAAATTATCCACTGCTAAAATGTTTGTTTTCAAGGCATATCTGTAAAACTGTCAAAGCAATAGGATGAACTACTTATTTATCCCTAATTATATCAATATCTCTTATAAATTGTTAAGTATCACTGAAATATTACTTTGCAAAAAAGAGTACATTAAAATACATTAACTTGAAAATATATACTCACATGCATAAGAAACGCAAGTTTTTTTATCCAAATAGGAAACAAACTCAGACCTTAAATTGATATGGGTTTTTGGCATATAGTGAAGCCTGATGGTGTTAACAATCATTTTTGTTGCGTTTTGGAAGGAATCACCAAAACGCACCTTACCAATGAACATGTGGGTATCATGCACACACTTCTAGTGAAATCTAACATGCACGAATTGTCACCACCATTAGTGGGTATATGACTGCACAAAAATTAGGTCTATTACTACTTGCTCAACAATGCCACGCTTAACTCAAATTGAAATAAACCAGGCTATCAGACGTTCGGAAGCTGGAGTGTCTGCCCAAAATGGTGCCCGCCATTTCGACGTAAACATAACCACTATTTACAGTCTCCAGCATCGATACAACGCCACAAAGACCACAGATGACCTTCCTCGGAAGCGGTCGTCCAAGGGTCACAAACCCTCGACAAGATCGGCACATTACCCATAAACACCAGCGAGATCCGCTCTCGTCAACCCCTTTACCTTTCGAAAACTTAATAATGTCATCAGTCTTAGTAGCCAATGAAATGTCTTCAAGCAATATTTTTGTCTATCAGACCGTTTGCATTTCTTGTGTTTAATATTGAAAATTACATACATATCTGCTTATACTTGACTTGCGTTACTTTTGCATGTGAGTATATTAAACATAGGATAAGAAAATGTGCTTTTGAACCAATAATTGCAATAAACTCGAGTTATTTCTTTCTGAAAGAAGACGTTTTGTCTGTTCTTGAAAGAAAAGAAGCCACTATCATTAAAAATATGGCATCAGCATAATTTTTTGCAAACATTTTGTGAAACAGTTGCTCCAACTATCAACTTTTTAAACTGGAATTGAGGTAGACTGGGGTGGTGAAGTGTGTTCAAAGGAATATATGTTGAGTATACATTAGGACAAGCAACATGAATACTGACAGGTCTCCGCTACAAACACTAGCAACTAACCTCCCAACAACCAGATTCGCTTGTATACTAAAGCATGTACAACCTAAGGGAAGGTGTCAACGAAAATGTCAATAGCACTTTCAAAATAGCACAATCAATAAGGAGAAATATGGCCAACTCAAAACAAGGACCATTAAATTCATTGCCAGAACTAATTCAACAAAACAAGTGCATTAATTTATAACTGTGCAAAATAAACTCAAACAGGCAACTGCATGTAACAATACATATATACACACTATTAATCCAAACTTGAGAAATTTCTTACACTGGATGAATTTCACAAAACGAGCAACATTTTGTTTTGCTGTTACAATTAGTGATTCGGTTGCAATCCACGTCACTCCTAAACCTATTTACTGAATAAAATGTTTTGTAACTCAGAAATACAATATGAAAATATGATACAAAAAGTTACATGAGTCGGTTAAACATACTTAATGGGTTCAAAGTTTCTTGCAAATACAAATAATAATAAGAAGTCAAAGACAGAATTGCATTGGTAATTAAAATGTACTTTGAACAAAGCTGAACATTGAACATTCAAGGAAAATTATCACGGCAGCTTTCCACAGACCTACAAATTTTTGCTTACTGGAATTCATTTTTAACTGTCAGAAATGATACAAAAATGCTACCTTAAATCACTCAAGAAATGTCTAATCCACATTATCAAAGTTAGCAATCCTCAAAATTAAAAAATAAATAATCTCTTTACAAAATTCAATATTTAAGTATTATATGGATCATAATATGAACTATTAAATACTTTCATATTGAAAATTGGGGTGGTTCTTAACTTTTGTTGTTGAGTATATAAAAAATAAGACAAACTTACAACCCCCAAAATGAGCTAAAAGATAAAGCAATGGCAAACATTGTCAAAATACCATATTGTGCCATCTAAGTAAATAGCAATGGAACTTAAGGATTCAATGTTCAGACCCCACATGAATAGAAATTATTCCACAAAAATGACAAAATGTCAAACTGAAAAAGACAGATACAAGTCAAAATGTCACAATAAAACTAATCCTGTTTAAATAAAATAACTTCATACTAAGTGGACCTAAGTAAACTGGGCTAGCAAGCACAATGAGATGATTTATGCTTATAAAAAGATGGTAACCTATTGATAAAACAGCTAATGTACACTTACTTTCGTTGGGGTTGAATTTTAGAAAACAATCTAATGGCCAGTAATCAAACTAGCCTTGAAAAGAACTAGTGAATGTTGAGTTTTATGAACAGCATTTCAGCCAATTTCAATAGAAACTGGGCAGTCAAGCCCTTGTCCTAGGTGCAATTTTGGTTTTACGCTGCTTTCAGCAATATTCCTGCAATATGTTGGCAGGGGATCACCAGAAATGGGCTTCTTCACACATTGTACCCATGTGAAGAATCAAGCCCGGGTCCTTGCCCTAAGAAGCTGTATGGGCTATATAAACAAACTGTTTCAATCAGTCTGTTTATCTGTGGTACTGTCTCATGGCCTAACAAATATGTGTCGAAAATTTGTTTTGGCCTTACTTATTTGTGGTAGCAAGCACAGTCTTGCTGATTTGTAGAATTCCACAACATAACAAGCTAATGTATGTGTGCAGAAAGACTTGACAAAAAAATCAGTTCCACATTTCTTGCGATTCAATCAACCTGTGTTGATATATTTTAGGTATTAAGCATCTACCATATATCTTCGTACTGGGAATTAAAAGACAAGCGATTCTCAATTGTTTTCTTAGTCTAGAATGCCATGTTACCTAAGCCGTAAATTTACATATTCGAGGACTCGAACACTTTCTTTCAACTCTCATAAAAACCACTAAAAGTATGCATTTCTGGTACCAAGACTGTATGTAATGATGTTCCTAAAAGGCTATTGAAATATAAAATGTCTATGAAATGGGCGAGACTAGTGTATGGGATAAGAAAAATAAAATATTTATACATCCTCTTATTCAGAAGCTATGATCAATGATCAAGAAAAATCAATGTCTCATTTATAACAAAATTCATTTGAGACATTGGTAAACAAAATCAAATGTAAACAAAGAAAACAGCACTTATGTACAAAACAAGTCTTTGTTATTCAACAAACCAACAATAGAGAATAGAGGCATAGGAAAAATACAAGGAGTCCAATACATAAAGGTTATCACATGACTAGAGTATAAAAATAAACAACTTCTTCACTTTTCACTTGTGACTGTATTCCTGGAACATCTGAAACAAAAATGCAATTGTCAGATTCAACCAGAATGTGAAAGGTAGTCAAGTGAGTTTTATGCCGCTTTTAGAAATATTCCAGCAATGTCAGGGCTTCACACGTGGGGGTATTGAACCCAGGTCTTCGGTGTGACAAGCAACGCTTTAACCACAGGATACTCCACTCAGTTTTACGCACTGCGCAAATGTGCATCCAGTACACACGAATGTAGACTGAGAATGGATGCAGAAAACATTCACTGCATCCAGAGGGACGCACAACATTATTCACTGTACCCACAACACATCTATGACTTTGCTAAGTGTTTGGTTGTTCCTTTCAGAGCAGTTACGCGCATCATTTCATCCATCAGTCCACATGATCAATGATTCATTCCTGGCTCTAAAGAAATTATCCCAACGTACAGTTCTCTACACACAATAAAACTAATAATTTGTGGTCCCCAAGACTCCGACATGTTTGTGAGTTGAGGTAAAATCCTGCCCACTGCCTAGTGGGCCTTTGGCAGGATATTAGCAGCTGCTTCAAGTACTGAGCCATTTGATGACAACATTGCCAATAAATAACTTTCAGCTTGTTAGATCAAACATGTAGTATTTGATTTATAAATTACTACTTTTTTGTAGCTACTTTTTTACATCACATTCAGAGCATCAAGACTAAAACTCAAATAATATAATCTTACAACACTTCAACCATGACATGCCTTGCACACATGGATCCTCTTACCATTCAAGTTTCTGCCTTTGGTTCTTAAGAGCAAGACACAAAACTATCTAACTGATTTTATGTTTTGTTGATTTGATGGAAATTACATGTCGTATTTCAGATTTATCAGCTAAGCAGTATTAGGAGAATAAGATATTTAAGTCCATAGTATATTTTATAATATTACCTGCATAGTTGACTGAATAATGGACAAAATTGATATTACCTACAAGGAGGGTGATGTGTTTCAGATGTGATCTTTTACTGGGATACAATAACGATTTCAATAAATGTTCTCTCAGGCAAACCCCGAGGATAACTGTACTTTCCAACGAAAATGAAAAAAGCATGAATAATCAAATGCAGGTCATTTAAAAGGTGAAGATGCTATGATGCCGAGAGACAGAATGTACAAAAACATCCACGACAATAAACATTAGATTACCTTAATTATACTTAAGTTGACAAAAATACAGGAGTCGGGTAAACAAAACCATTCCACTGAAATCTGGCTCGGTCTTTACGACAAACCTTTGATACAACCAGGCCCATGATAGCACAGAATTATTCCCAGGACCAGTTGGGGAGCTTTCCAATCACCCTGAAAGACAAAGGGTATATGTATACATCCATATCTGCAAACAGCCTGAATTGTCGCAACCAAACCTATCTAGAAAAGCTAAAGCTACTGCATTATTTATGCTGACTACTTACTTCATGTTACATCAGTGAAGGAATATAGTTAAGTTCATTGGCCCAAGTAATATTCCAGCTATTAATGGAGGCGGTCTGTAAATAATCGAGTGTGGACCAGAGAATCCAGTGATCAACAGCATGAGCATCAATCTACGCAATTGGGATACGATGACATGTGCCAACCAAGCCAGCGAGCCTGACCACCTGATCCCATTAGTCGCCTCTTACGACAAGCATGAGTTACTGAAGATCAGTTCTAACCCTGACCTTCACGGGTATAACTGGCCCAAAGGCAATGGAAGGCTGAAAGTGGCTATAACAAGTTATATTTATTGCCTTTCAATAAGGTTAGTACATTGTATTTCATTCCTACTTTAGCAACTTTACACTTTTTGACTTATGAGGCGCTGACGGTGGAATATCTGATCTTGCTTATGTGTTGTACCCAAAAATCAAAGCAACTCTAGGTCCCTTCAGCATCCAGGTTTATATCTAATCCTAAACATCAATACTCACTCATAAATTATTGGGGGATAATTTCATAACATTGTTTTACTTGTTTAAGTAATTGATGAACTGATGAGATGAAAGCATGCCAGAAAAACGTATTTACAAATGCTTTTATACAAAGGAACAGTATTTATAAATGCTTCTTATATGTACAACGACTGACTGAATGACAATGGCAGTTGTTATATAGGTGAGGTGAAAGTGGGTTTTACGTCTCGCTTGAGAATATTTCGCTCATATGACGATGTACATGCGTGTGTATGTGTATGTGCAGCTGCTTGTACTAGCCCAGACTGAAGCTGGTTTTACAGTGCTAGCCCGCTGAGATACTATGCCGCAGTGAAGCATGAATACCCTACTCAGACACATTATACTGACTCCAAGCCGACCAGTCCTTGTTGTACCCATTAATGCCGAGTGCCAGGCAGGGACCAACAAGTACCATATTTTAACGTCTTTTGGTATGACGAGGTCGGGGATCAAACCTGCGACCTTCCGCTACACCACGGAGGCGGTCAAAGTTGTTATATAGGTGAGTATGGTCAGTATTCCAGTAATATGGGCATGACAGCCCAAACCACATGTTGCCGCAGTGGCGAGTACAACTACATCATGGGTGAGGCAATATTTCACAGGTTAATATACTTTTCATTGCATCAGAGATCATTTTAATTTTATATGGTCTCTGATTGCATAGATTCAACCATGCTAGAACATTGATGGCAGATGTCTATTGGCTAATGAAATGTGGCTTTGTGTGTCAGGGAAGTCAAATGTACTGTATTGAATGAACTTCAAGCAAACCTTCCCAATACTATCACAGAAGCAATTTGTTGAGCAAATGGCAGTAAGTCTGTAGCACTTGTTGCATAAGAAATTATCCCATGTAGGACATTATCAGAGTGCTCACAATGGTCTGAGCATTTCCAACAGTGAGACAGCTGATGGATCTGTTGGAATGAAAATGAGTGAGTGAGTTTAGTTTTATGCCGCACTCAGCAATATTCCAGCTATATGGTGGTGGTCTGTAAATAATCGAGTCTGGACCAGACAATCCAGTGCGCAATTGGGAACCGATGACATGTGTCAACCAAAGCAGCGAGCCTGACCACCCGATCCCGTTAATCGCCTCTTATGACAAGCATAGTCGCCTTTTGTGGCAAGCATGGGTTGCTGAAGACATATTCTACGCCGGATCTTCACGGGTTGATTAAAATAATGAGTAAGTATGTTTTTACGCCGCTGTTAGCAATATTCCAGCAATATCACAGTGGGGGACACCAGAAATGGGCTTCACACATTGTGCCCATTGGGGAAATCGAACCCGAGTCTACGGCGTGACGAGCGAATGTTTTAACCACTAGGCTAGGCCACCGCCCTGATAAAAATGACGACACCACAGAGCTGCTGTATGTATTCATGGCTGGTGGATGAGTATAGATGTCAACTGAGTGGAGACAATGTCAACTTCAAATGTAACATTGTTTCATTAGACATTGAGCTTCAGAAATAATAATTACCTATTCCTCAAAATGGAATTGAATTCTTGGTGTTCCTTGTGAGAGGCTTGTGGTGTCTCATGGTGTCCAAGGCATGCTGCCAGTACCAACATGATCGACAAAAGTACTTGAAGCACTGCATTTCTCGACAGAAGTAGGGACCTTGTTGGATGCTACACAGTGAACAGATGGCATCCTCCAGGTAAGGGTCTATCTGAATCTGACATCCAAACAGAATATTAGACGGTAAACATGCCAGAGCAATAATGTAATTTTCTGAGTAAAATTGATATTTTATACTTATCCTGATTCATGTATTATTGCTTGTCTCCTTCCTTTCGCGAATGTTAGTGGAACACTTGTATCTCCTTTTTGAAGCTCCCTTTCAAAAGAGCAGACGTAAAATCACTACTCACCATGAGTTGTGTCCCTCTGGTTTTAGCCGGAAAACAGCGCGCCACCTGTCTTCCCACGCTTCACTCTCTCCGAATAGCTAGCCCGACACTTTAATTTACTGGGAAATCCAAAGTGCCTCCAAGGTTGGGAGGGCTTACCTCATGAGTCAGGATAAGTATAAAATATCAATTTTACTCAGAAAATTACATATTTTTCCTTATCCTGACTCATGTATTATTGCTTGTAGAACCCGTCGGATCTGGTGGTGGGACAAGCCACTTCTGGATTCCAATTAGTGATTTAGGTCTTGCATACCCCCGTATGGGTACTTCCTGGTAGCACTTCTATTTACTGCTAGGCTCTGCTGCTGCTGTAACCCTTTACTTCCAGCTTTCTCTGATGGGGGGACCACAATTGTTAACTTTTGGTCCTTGCTTCTGTTAACATTATTATGTGGATTTTGCAACTCCATCTCTTGATGCAAGCATCAGTGGAGAAGCGACCCTTTATATGTACGAGTACGTCCTTACAAGTACTGGGTCTTATCACTTATGCTAGTCTGTCTTAGACGTGCATATGGACTCTAAAGCTGTAACTCTCCTGAGTGTAGGCTTTTGCAAGTCATGTGATAAAAGGGCGAGACTCCGTCTCAGCGCCTTTGTGGGAACCGTCAATTGTTGTGCTACAACAAGCGGGCCGAAATGGTGAATGCAAGAGACGTCCTCGGTGGCGATGTCTCTCAGGGCAAACACCATGTCCGATTTCCAGAAGTAGCCCTCCATTATCATCGTGATAGAGCAGTTCCCATGTAGAGCGCTAATTTCATGTGGATTGGAGGCTCTTGGAGGATCAAGTCCTGCTGCTTCGTAGGCCCGTAGTATGACAGTTCTCATCCATATTGATATCGTAGTGCGAGAGATCTCCGTCTGTGTCGCTGTCGATATAGGGATGAAAAGACGCTTGAATTTTCGTCTCCTGGTTCTAGACCTTTGTAGGTAGACTTTCAATGCTCTTACTGGGCATAAGGATAGGTCCTGTGTATCCTGTGGCCCAAGGACTGATGATAGTGCTGGGATGTGGAATTGTCTGTCCGGTTGACCTGGCAGTTGATTCTTTGCTATAAAGTCCCATCTCAGTCCCATATGCACGATGTTTCGATTTTCGTCAAATCGTGTCCTCTCAAAGTCTAGAGCATGTATTTCCGACATCCTTGCTGCTGTTGCTAAGGCGATCAGGAATAGAGGTTTCTGCGTCAAGAACTCAAAAGATGTCCTATCTAATGGTTCATAAGCGTCACTGGTGAGATGCCGTAGAACAATGTTGAGGTCCCACGCGCCGGAGCTTTAAATCTCTGTTGTTGGTCCACCAGTTTAAAAGAGCGTAGTAAGGCCAGTAACTCTGGTACCTTAGTCAGTTTTACACTCGTCCTCATAGTGATAACTGAGCTCAATGCCGCTAGGTATGTTGAGAGTGTTGACCCTTTCAACCGCTTTGTTTGTCTTAGGTGACAAAGTTAGTCCGCCACTTGAGGGGGTGTCGCTTTTATGGCTGTGAAGCCTGTTTTCAAGGCGTAGGTCTCGAAGCTTCGCCACTTGTCGTCGTACAAGTTGCGTGTTGACTTGTGTAAGGCTAGAGTGACTGCTTTCGCTGCTCTGGCGGAATATCCTCTCTTATTCAAGCACGCCTTGATACGCTCCATGCGTGGAGCCGGAACACCTGTGGGTTGCCGTGTGCTTGCTTTGTGTTTGGATGTACTAGCAAGTTCGTCCACTCTGGTAGTTGCAGTTGAGGCGGTCCTAGTTCTTGTATGAGAATGGTGAACCATATTCTCGCTGGCCAGTAAGGCGCGACCAAAATCAGTTGCAGGTTCTTCGTCTGTATGATTTTCTGCAACACTTTCGGTATTAGAGCTGGTGGTGGGAACGCGTAAGTGTTTAGTCCTTCCCAGGAGATGCTTAGAGCATCTGTTTCCCATGCTCGTGGATCTGGTATTGGAGAGACTAATGTTACCAGTTGATTGTTGAATCTTGTGGCAAATAGGTCTATTAGTGGCGCTCCTATCTCTTGTATGATCTGTTTGAAGATCCCTGGATGTAGCATTCATTCTGTTGGGGATGGCTGAGTTGGCCGAGATAGTGCGTCTTCTATCACATTCTTGGCTCCTGGGATGTGGCATGCTTTTATGTGGATGTTCAGATTGTCTATTATGCTGAACTGTTGAAAGCAGAGGTTCAGAAGGTTCGGATCGTCCTCTATAGTTGCCGGATGGGCGACGAAAAGAATCCTTTCCTCCTTTGGAGGTCCCCATTTTCTTTTCTCTTGCTTTCTGGATGCCTGCAAATTTGGATTTGCCCGAGTAGCGTTGGGACGTCTGCCTGATGACACTGGCTAGTGTATCAATGGACTTGATCATCAAGACCTCCCTAGATTCCTTCATGACTTCCTTGGCGACCTCGTCAATCTCCCCTGCGAAGATGGATGTTGTAGACCATGGAGCTCTGTACAGCGTCTTAGTGAAGCGTTCGCTCCAGTTGCACGACGACAATAGTCCTTGTCTTCTAGCTAGCGTCAGCGCTGCTGATATGGATGATAGATGCTCCGACATAAATTGGTGGTCCTTTTTCTGAGTTAGTAGGGCAGAATAAATCATCCGGTCTTCCTCTGCAGTAAAGTTCTTAAACTTGGTGATGAGCGTCTCATTAACTGCCCTGGATCTGTGAAGTCCAAAGAACATCCTTCTGGTCATAGTGTCTATCTGTGCCAGCTTTTTTGTCCTCAATCTTGTAAGATTTGGTCCGGGAGTCGTTGGTGATTTTATAGTTCTCATCTATTTCTTGCGCCTTCATGAAGGGGTCCATGTTGTGTAGTGAGAACTTCTTTGCGTTGAACTGTGGGATATTAGGAGCCTGGAACTTCGGTGCCTTCCTGAAGGCTGCATCTAAATCCTCTGGTACTTCCAAGATGGATCAATTGGAGGTAGAGTGATCGTGTCCACATCATTGTCCTTCATTAGGTACGTGAGTGCTTCATTCTCTTCCTTAGAGGGTGATGCTAGGTCCAGTCCATTAGCCATCCAATATTTTATCTCTGAGTCCGAAAATATGATACCGCCAGCGTCCTCTGTATCATGTTCACTGGCATAAGATCGTTGACCATCCTTTGTTGGGGATCTGCGTGGGGATCTGCGTGGAGATCTACGTGGCAATCTGCGTGGGGATGAGCATGTTGAACTACGTGTAGTTCTAGGAGGCGATCTGTAAGGCGACCTGCATGTAGGTGAGCGTCTTCTAGTCCTGGATTGCCTTCCTGACGATCTTGTTGACGCTGTTGACGATATTACAGATGACCTTCGCGCAGGTGAGAGATTCTGTTGAGGGTCTGAGTCCCGAGATGTCTCTCTCGACCTTCTAGGTGGTGTAGGTTTCCTTCTCTGTGAAGTGGGTAGCCTGTGTGAAGGTTCTTTATTAGCCTCATCATCTGATGACGAACTCATTGGTTCTGAAGAGCGTGCCGTCCTGCGCGCAGGTTTGCTGACGTCATGTAGCGTAGATCTGCTCTTAGACCTAGAGCTAGATTCTCTGGTGGGCCTCTCAGATGTATCATCAGTGTGGGGTCGTTCATGCAGGTCTGGATCCTCTCTGAGGTTGATGACTTGAGCATGAGAGCCGCCTGGCTGTCCATCATGCGAGGCTCTTTCCTGCGCGAAGCGCTTCTCCATCATCTCCATCATCTGTTGAGAGAATTGCTGCATGTAGGCCCTAGGGTTGAATGTCTGCGACGATTGTAGAGATGTCGTATCTGAGATGGTAGCAATATGGTCCAGGGATCGCTGTGCCTCATGGATCTCTGCCGTCAGTGTAGACTCGGACTGCGTAGATAGGGCTGCTGACGTTACCGTTGCTGAGGCCTGCTTCCTTTTCTTATGATGTATCTCTGGGATGATCAACAGCGGTTCATCATAAAGTCCTCTATCTTCCATCGGGACGATTTCGGCCGCAAAGGTCCTCGTAATCTGCGAAGAACTCCCCGTAGAGCTGCTTGAAGTCTTAGGGGTGTGAGGCGTTTTCTGCTTTGAAGATGGCCTCTTCTTCTTCGTCTTGGTTGAGGAGTTGTCCGAAGTAGAAGACCTTTTCTTCGATGTAATGGTGGACAACATCCCACGCCCATCTTCAGAGGAAGCCTCCGGCAGGTCACTGGATGGAAGTATGTCGTCGGACAACGATGGACAGCTCTTGAGGGACTCAGCCGGTTTATCCATGACTTGTAAAAGTCGACGGGATTTATCCTTAGCACGCCTAAGTACAGAGAAATGATAATTTTTAAATTGAATTTGTGTTAATTGCTGACATAAGTTACAGCAAGAGCTGGAAGTGCATATTGTTGTGCAGCTGGGTCACAGTAAATGCGGGTCTGCAGCAGATAACCTAAACCTACAACGAAAACAGGTTTTCATGAAATGTAAACAACTGAACAATCACGTAAAAAACGTGAATAAACAGTCAAATTACGAATAAATTTCAAACCATATTGTAGAAGGATACTCCCTAAAGCCTTATAAAGGTAGCTTATAGGGAAATAACTAATTAATCAAAGGATATAGTGCCGTATTGGAGACACAGGCGCTCTCCCAACCGTCCACTAGGGCGAAGAAGGAGAGAGTGACCACCAAAACCAGAGGGACATAACTCATGGTGAGTAGTGATTTTATGTCTGCTCTTTTGAAAGGGAGCTTCAAAAAGGAGATACAAGTGTTCCACTAACGTTCGCGAAAGGAAGGAGACAAGCAATAATACATGAGTCAGGATAAGGAAAAATTAGTCCTCTCCAAACTTTAAATTAAGAAGTGGGTACGAAATGAGGAAGGATGATTACCTGTTTGGGGCAACCAAAAATGTCCAGTTCTAAAGTTCCAGAAAAACTTTGCAATATTAGTTTGAAAATTATCACACATTCAAATGGCTGACTACAAGCCTTTTTTTTCACACTTTTAGGGTTAAAGTTTTGAAATTTGACAAGAAATGTGAATCAACCGAGTTAAAAAAGTTAGCCTGAGAACATTCCAGTGAAAATCTAACAAGACAAAGTCATCAATATCCCCCAATGGCAAAATACTCTTCATGAATATGTCAACTAGTTATGATTATGTCAAATGTTTTGGTGTGTATATGGCAAAGTGGAAGGAGAGTATTGAAAAGTTTTTAAATTCTGCTCCAGAAAGTCAAACTTGTTGGCATGGAAATGCAAAACAATACTTTATACAGAAATCCATAATTATCAAAAGACACCAGTACACCTCCACATCTATCTATGCGCCAAGTTTGGTGAAAATATAGTGAACAGTTTTGAAGTTCAGCTCCGGAAAGACGAATGTGCACAGACTCACTCACGGACAGACGGACGCACTGAGTGCATGTTCATACCCCCTGCAAAACGCATTGTGGGGGATCATAACAAGAGAAGCTCCACAGAGGATCTAGCATCAAGATAGGCCTAGCAGGTACAGCACTGTTACCTTCTTTGTGAACTTGGGTGTCTTGATCTCTATGAAAGCAGCCTGGACTGCCTTCATGTAGCTCTTCTTGCTGCTGAATGTGACTCGGCCTGACCCTGGACAACACATATTAGACATGAGTAAACACAGCAACCAAGTCTTGGCATGTAGAAATGATCACAAGTGAACCAGTTAACATATTTACAAGTACAAAGTGAAATGTCAAATGACCCAAAAATGTTTTACTGAATACACATTAATTTACCTGTCCAAAATATGATGATAGGAATACTATTACTGGGAACATATTATAATGGTCGACTATGTATTGTAGTGAAATAAGACTGACATTGCCTCTGGGGCATCCTACTGAAGGTGGTGAATCAGAGTTAAACATGGATTACCAAAATGTGTTTTATTCAGTAATTTTCATCTTTCTTTCAAGGAATTTCTTGCAAATTTTGCACATTATCCTCTTGATATTTTGTACACCCAAAAAGGAAATTATCTTGGCTAACCATTTTTAGATATATCTCAAATTTATGTCAAAATGATTGGATACTCACTTCAAAGATCATGAACAAAAAAAATCTTGCTTGGAAGTGAAATATTAATTAGGCTAAAATGAAGTCATTAAAGCAAACACGATGGCCAAGCAGTTTTAAGTTAGTACTTAATCATAGATTATACATATGGGACCTTAGAAACCTGATAATACACAGCTTTTTTAGGAAATGGCTAAGACGGTCAAGGTTATCCAGACATTTCTGGGACTACCTTCTTAAAAAGAAATGTTGCCTCTTAAAGGTTTGTTTGGCATTTTAATACAGCCAATCATATTCCATCTGCAATATTCCATCAGTTTATTCTCACAGGTGTGGAATGACATAAAAAACCCAACAAGTTCTTCTGTCATATACACTCACCAATTGGATATTTGTGTTTGTCAGTGTCGATGCCAGCATAGACAACATTGCCAAACAGGTCATTCATGATACTGGCCAGTGCCTCAGCTGTGATCATGCCATGCAAGGCTCCCACAAAGATAGTCTTCTGTGCATCCAGCCTCTGGGAGGGGGACCTCACATGGTTACTGTCCGCCAACACCCAAGGGATCACTTGCACCTTCAATCACAAGTACACAACAGTTTTGGCAGAAATGACGCCTGAGAGACCACTGTAGCAAAACTGGCGTGAAACTTTTGTAATTTTATTGAGAAATGGGATTTTCTTATTTTCTTAATGTCAGAGCAATTTCAACACTGTATTTTGATTTTTGTTCAGTGTAATGATATGTATGTATTAAAGACTCTTCTTGTTACTTGAAAAGAATACATGTCACTTTGTCAAAAAAATCACACTGACAGTCATAGGAAGACATTACTATTTGTGACTTTCTACTGAGAATATTGCCAAAGGCTTGGGGTCTAACATCAGTCTCTGACCAGAACCAGATGTATCCCTGTCTTGTACACCTTACATGGAAACAGTTTTCAGCTTTCTCTTGTTTCATTATTGCAACTGTTAAAATTTGCACTATTGTTCTTATTAAAAGTCAATAAATTATAAAAAAATTATTTAAAACATTGCAAAGGTATGTGATCATGTTCTCACCTCTTTGGACCTCATTCTTCTGCTTGAAATCTTGTAATAGTAGTCACCATTGCTGAAATCATGTGTACAGGCAGGCAGTAGGCACTTCACAGACTTCTCATTGTCGAACAGGAGGTACACATATCCTGGTACAAACATGGAAACAAAACAGTCACAGGCTGGCAAAACTATGGCTTAAATATAAGAAGTCATTGCATTTTAGGTTTTCCGAAAAGTTTTTAGCATTATCAGAAGGCCTATTCTTGGCACAGCTTACCGGTACTCAGGACTGAGAACTTTCTTTTGGTCAACATATCTGGTGTGAAAATTATACAGAGGCTTTAAGAAAATGCTAGTGGTAACAAAATCCATAGAGACGTCAATGGGTTTCTGATGTGCATTATAGATTTCAAGGCAAATGATAAATGCATCAAGATGCTCCAAACAAATACTTTTATATATTTATTTTCAATATAACCTTTCACTTCAAATACGAAACATGAGACTAGAGAGTAAATAAGAGGAAATATAAGCGTAAACAAATTGCACATGTAGTTTTTCCATTGTTGTGAGTGAACTGCTCCCACAAAAACAACACATTGAAATGAAGCTTGGCTGAACACAACAATGTATTCTTGATCAACAGATAACTGCTGCATACTTGGGATGAAGATAAAAGGTCACCATTTTGTTAATGTCCACGAGACAAACCAAGGACAACAATCAAGCTAAATCTGAAATTTTGGGTGGTGGATATCCTTGAAAGCCGTGGCTCGCTTCCTTATTTTGGGGAAGCCACCATGACATTGCTGAAATATGATAAAAGCTGCACAAACTCCACTAACTCCCTGCAATCTGAGAAACAAATATCTCACAGAGTGATGCTGTACAACTCAGCTACCCTTTTCAAACAGCTTGTATATGACTATCATCTTACCATCTTTTCCTGGCCATTCTATCTTGAGAGATCCAAACTTGTTGAAGGCAGCTTGAAGTCCAGCTTGAAAAAAAACACAAGTTGAAATTTGTCCTGACAACCTTCCCATGACAACAATTGTCAGGTTATAGATAAACATACACAAAGTCATGGACAGTGTGGACCAGTTGTGATTTGAGCAAGTTACAATATTCTGTTTTTCAATTTAGTCAATGCTTCAGATGACCCAAATGACTATTAAATAAGGCTGGCTGGAACTGGTGGTGTATTCAAGAATATCTTCTTAGAAAATTCAGACCACTGCACCAACCATCCAGATATTAAGCCTCTCGAGGAAGACATTGCTGTATAATCTGCGATACATTTATCTTCCATTGTCAAGAAGTTGTAATTACTGACTGTCAAACTGAAATTGTCTCCGAGTATACTCAACTACAATACTGACAAAACAAATTCAGTTGACACAAAAACTAAGAGGATTTTGAAAGACCTGAATCAGTCCTTATGCCAATAGTTTGATGGGACTGCAGTTTTGCTTCAGTCTTTGTCTCCCTCTAAACAGTAGAATAGATTTGCTTTCTGCTGAAAAGTCATAATCATATCAGTGCATCATATCCTAGTTAGAATCAGATATTAGTGCTTGCTAATGCAACACAAATATGACAGCTAGGTTATGACAGCTAGGTAATGACAGAAAGACCATTAAGCCAGCCAGAAAGCAGCTTTCTTGACGTATTTGCCACTAGTTTCAAAATGAACATTTCCTTTCCAGTCAAAGTTTTGAAAATTATGTTGTCAAAATTTGTGATTCCAACTTATAAAACTGAACAATATGTCCAGATGTCTGAGACCATATGGTCAAATCTAACATTTGGAATTACACTTTGTTTGAAAAGTGAGTTAATTTTTATGCTGGTTATAGCAGCCCCACAGCTCCTCTTGGTAAAGTACAGATTCTAGTACTTTTGCTGGGTCGAGTCCCGTCCGGGATTCGAACCCACACCTTCAGAGTGAGGCACCAAATCACCAGCACACAAAGTCAGATGCCTAACCCACTCAGCCACCACTGGAAGCCATGGTAACAAACTCTATAGACATAGTGCCCGAGTGGGTAAGGTGTCTGACTTTGTGTGCTGCCGATTTGGTGCCTGACTAAGGGTGTGGGTTCTAATCCATAATGGGACTCGACCCAACAAAAGTAAGAAGTTTAATCCCAAATATAACATGTTCAACCATAGGTGGATGATAATCTTGACAGAAACAGTCACACAGCACAACAGTGTCCATCAGAATACCCTGTATTACCGTTTTTAGAAAACAACTTGACAACCAATTATTTGCTTGGTCAGATTAGAGGTTTTATTAAAATCAAGTAGAACTTAGCCTTCTGCTTAGCAGTAGCAAGAAATTGGATCTGACCTTAATGATCTTTTCATAACTCGTCTCCAAAATCACAGAACATTACCACCCTGTCCCTACACAAGTCATCAACACAATCCTTTTAAAGGTTTAATGAGTATTTCTGAGCCCATAAACCCTAAAAAGCACCAAATGTTCATATCTGTGGAGACCATCAAACTCAATTTGAATCATAACTTCTGCAATGATCACATATAATGAAGATACCTTCAGTGATATCCCAGGGAACACCTCCAAGGAACACTTTCGGGGAGTAGGTAGGGTTCTTGTGGTTCCTCGGAGGCAGTGGACCACTCCATGTGCAGCTTGCTTCGCTCACAGCTGCAAACAGTAACAGGACAATCACGATCATATCACAAGTAGCTGTTTAACCCATGAAAATTTTGTGAGAATACTTGTAAACACATCATTTCTGAACTGCTTTTCCATTCTTGACATAATAGTCCTAAACCAAAAGCTAGAAAAGCCCCCATCTTTTAGGATCTCTCTGCAGCAGTAAAAGTATTATCCAGTAACTAGAATGACACCCACCCTCCAGAAAATCTTTTTGATATGGAACTAACCACAGAATGTATCAGGTTACTAAAAACAAACAAGGTTTACCCCACTGTTAAAACAGTGTCCACATGTTCATAGACCAACTGCATGAGTATTAACCACATGGTCTAATGAACTGTGACAAGCACTGGTGTTCAACATGGCCCAGATATGCAGTGTGGGTGATAAGGCGAGGTGCATCATATTACCTGATTTTGATGCTATCTACATTTGGCTGAGGAGTAATAAATTCTGACTGAAGAAATGACACTGATGATTTTGTGCTGATATCAGATTTTGCCACTTCTGTTGTAATGTACATATCATCAAAACTGTATCCAGCAACAAAAATAAAATAAAAACATCTTTAATTAGGCAACGTACTGACGCTGTAGAATAGCTCAAGCTGATTTAGTTTTTTTGCCCCTGTAAGGGCTGGCTGTAATGTTCTGAAAATATGGTACATGTACTTGGTTGTCACTGCCTGGCGATCGGCATTAAAGGGTACAACCAGGACTGGTCGGCTTGGAGTCCGTGTAATGTGTCTGAGTGGGGTATTCATGCTTAACTGTGGGATGATATCTCAGTGAGCTAGCACTATAAAACCAGCTTAGGTCTGGGCTAATACAAGCAGCCACACATACACACGCATGCACGTCATCATATGAGCAAAATATTCTTAAGTGCGACGTTAAACCCCATTTCACCTCACCAAAGGGAAAATATAAATCATAAAGTAGTGACCAGACAAAAGAATCAACCTTACTTCATATTTTGTCAACTTGCCTGAAACTATTCCATCTAATCAGGAATCACAAGAACCTCACTGGAATAATTTAAAAGTATGATTCAGAGATTCCATGATGCTTGTCTCTGATCTGTATTCAGTTTCACAGAGAAGTCTCAGTGTTTTCTCAATCAATTATTGTGAAATATTCAACCGATGGCATTTAACTTTTGCAATATATGGTGATGGTCATAGCAAAGGTACTGAAGTTGCAGTTGTTGACTTGCCTCTGAGACCGATTGTTGTTTAATGCCATACTCAGCAATATTCCAGCTATATGGTGGCAGTCTGTAAATAAGCGTCTGGACTAGACAATCCAGTGATCAACAGCATGAGCATTGTACTACGCAATTGGGATATGATGACATGTGTCGACCAAGTCAGTGAGCCTGATCACCTGATCCCGCTAATCGCCTCCTACTACATGCATGGGTTACTGAAGACCCATTCTTACCCAGATCTGCATGGGTTTGTCTCTGAGTAGAGACCAATTACCAGAAAGTCTTTAAGAGTGTGCATTGTTTGACTTGCTTCAAAAAGTAGTTTTTTCTGTTTTAGTTGGTTCTGACAAGGGATCATACACCTGATTCAAATCCATGGCCATCAGGGATAGGCTACTCAAACTTTACCAACCTCTTCAAGATATATTTTAAGTCACAATGATACATATCTGTCCAAATTGTAAATAGAGGTAAGTTAATGCAATGAAACGTCTACCAGCAGCATTTCTGTGAAGTCTGGCAGCCCTGTCTATGGCATATGGGTCAACATTGGTCATGTTGAGGAAGGGAGTGATTGCTTGTGAATGCCAGGCCTGGTCATGCAACAGCTGACTCGAGTCCAGGGGAACCAGAGCATCTTTGGCCATCTGAACAGATTGCATGCCTTGGCACAACTGGTTTGTCATGTCAGTTTGGGGACCACGGATGTTCAACTTGCCACCAATGCTCAATGAATTCTGAAACATAAAAGTTCATTCACGAATAGGATTTCACTTGTCAGAGATTGAGTGACCACCAGTTTTAGCAATATCCCAGCAATATCACTGCCAAGGACACCAGAAATGGGCTTCACACATTGCACCTATGTGGGGAATCAAACCCGGGTCTTCGGCTTTACGAGCAAATACTTTAATAACAAGGCTACACCAATGCCTGATATTAAACTGGACAGGTTTTCTTGCTAAAATGACCTTGATTCAGATAAAGAAATAAACCTTGAATTTAGTGCACTCTCTCTGACGTCATTTTGAACATACTGTTGACAGATTCTTGCGTATTCTGGGCTGATATAGAACTGACTTACAAAATCATGTTGAGTCAACAGAAGCATTTCATAAAAATACTGCACCAACATGTAGGATTAACAGAAAGAATTTCAATGCTCTGCCACTAATCTCTTCTGTGGACAGTAGTAACTGTTGTTAGGAAATCCTAACCTTAATACAACCTAAACCCTGATTTAATTCATAGCAAATTTACTATCATATTGCTTCAAGATAGTGATAAATAACAAGAAAAAATTGTGTCCAGGGACACGGATGCCCCCGCTGACATTCATAAGACATATACAGATCAATAATTGAACAAAATTCACGAACAAGTTCAAAAAACATCTATGCAACTATGACATGCACACCTTTCGAGTCTCAATGAAACACATGTATAAGCTTAATCAATTCTGTTGAGCAGTTTTTGTGGAGAAGTGGACAGACTTAATCCCGTATTTCACTATCATCAGAGAGAAATTCTGGAAAATTTATCTAAGTTCAAAATTCTCTAAACATACAAAAAATTATAAAATATGAAAACAAAATATGAGATGCACACCTTTAGAGTCTCTATAAAAGACATATGTAAGCTAAATGAGTTTTGTGCAGTGGTTTTTGAGGATAAGTGGATAAAGTACACCCCCTGTTGTATGGGACGAACTGGATGAATAGAGCCAATTCAAGTTCAAACATCTGTAGAAGTGACAAAATTAAGAAATTGGATGAACAAGGTATGAGACGCACACCTTTAGAGTCCCAATGAAACACACATAGAAGGCCAATTCTGTTGAGCAGCTTTTGTGGAGAGGTTGATAGACTTCATCCCCTATAACACTATATTCAGAGAGAAATTCAACAAAATTTATCTAAGTTCAAACGGCATTAAAATTGGAAAAATAAATAAAATACAAAATCAAAATATGAGATGCACGCCTTTAGACTCCCTATAAGGCACATGTGTAATCTAAATGAATTCCATAAAGTAGTTTTTGAGGAGAAGGGGATAACGTACACCCCCTGTTGGATGGAACGAACAGACTGAATAGAACAAAATTCAACTAAGTTCAAACATCTGTAAAAGTGACAAAATTAAGAAATTGGATGAACAAGGTATGAGATGCACACCTTTAGAGTTCCAATGAAACACCCGTAGAAGCTCAATCAATTCTGTTGAGCAGCTTTTGTGGAGAAGTGGATAGACTTCACCCCCTACAACACTATCATCATAGAGGAATTCAGCAAAATGTACCTAAGTTCAAATGTCTCTAAACTTAAAAAAAAATCCAATAAAATAAAAAAACAAAATATGAGATGCACACCATTAGAGTCCCAAGAAAGCCCATGTATAAGTTCATTGAATTCCACAGAGCGGTTATGGTGGAGAAGTGGATAGAATACATTCTCTGTTTCGTACGGACGGACGGATGTACGGACGGACACAGAGGGTAACCCTATATGCCCCTGCCATATATGGCGGGGGCATAAAAATAATGTACAATTTCATTAATTTAAGTGACTGGAATGATTGGAAGTCTTACCAGATTAACATGGAAATCATGTAGGGGTGACTATGGAGGGGGAAACAGCTATTACGATAACGATAGTCTATTGCTACCAACTATATTGCAATACTATTGCAATAGCTTTTTTTCTCCTTGAATTGTCTCATTTGAAGTCATTTGCCAAATGAATGCATAGTTTTAATGAAATAAAAACACGCTGAAGTAGTTTCAGTCTCTTAAAAACCGACAAGAAACTTGAAACCCTGATCAAGTTTGATTAAGAGGTAACTAAATTAAAGTGAACGAATCTGGTACTTCCTGTATTTTGTCCTGCACATTTATCAACGGAAGTCAATCACTAAACTATCGATAGTCACTCGTGTTGGGAATTGGTTAAAATCATATAATTGATGATTGGTTCATTACAACCGATCAATCATCGAAAATAATTGGTTAGTGAGTGAGTGAGTTTAGTTTTACACTGCACTGAGCAATATTCACCTTATATGGCGTTGGTCTGTAAATAATCAAGTCTGGACCAGACAATCCAGGGATCAACAGCATGAACATCGATCTACGCAATTGGGATACGATGACATGTGTCAACCCAGTCAGCAAACCTGACCACCCCATCCCGTTAGTCACCTCTTACAACAAGCATGGGTTGCTGAAGATCAATTCCAACTTGGAGGTAATTAATTGCTTAGTGTCATTTAAAGGTCACATGCAACGTAAAACATAACTTTGCAGATTCTGATACCTTTCGGTATGGACTTACCGAAACAAAGCGTCAAAAATGCAAATTCAACTTATAAAGTTGAAAAATAACGCAATGAAAAAAACCGCGCGAAATCGGAGTTCAAACGTTTCACTAATTTTCCCCCCGACTTTTCGGAGGAACTGGTTTCAACAGCTGGGCTGCCCTCATAGCACGTGCGCAGTGAAATAGGTTCGCGCAGCTTGGAAGCGGGGTGTCCGGTGAATACTCGGTGAAGGCTTTGGTGTGAGCTATTTTTCTAATGTTTTGTTGATATCTCACAGGCGTGAGCTTTTTATATGTTATGACAGTAAATTAACTGTTTACATAATTTCATTTGTCTATTTCACCACACGTTCTTCTTACCGAGTCACTTTCTCAGTTCGATACTTGAAAGCAATGTCATTATTTAGCGTTGACAGAATTTCTAACTGTGATATAGATATGTCGTTTTATTGACACCTATGTGTCTGCCTGCCTGTCTGCTAATGACAATATTCAATACACAGCTGCTATCACTGACCACATGCAATTTGAACTTAACACCAATCAGGCTATACACCATAAACAAAATGCATTGATTTATGGCCCGAGTTCGGTCTCTGTCACATTATGTAATTACACAGACAGGCAGGTGTGATACTTGAAAACATGACATGTTATAATGTCTGTTGATTGTAAAATGTTATACACAAAAAATGAGCATGTATTTACAAAACCCAACATCTCTATATATACACACACAATGAGCCATGAGGGCATCTGCAAATGAACCAGCCGTTACACTCGAGTGCACACCCACCCGCTCTGACTGGGTTCGGTATCCCGGCTGCTTTGTTTCTTGGGAAGTAAACCCAAGTACACAATATTGCACTTTTGATTTGCGATTGTACGCTTATAATTTTGTTTATATGTTTTTTCATAACCAGCGATGTATATTATATGTCATGAATAAGTGATAATTGTGTTTTAATTATGTTTGATTTTTTGGTTGCATGTGACCTTTAACAAATTGTCCTGGTTATGTTTTTTAATGCACAAAAACGTAGTTCTTTCGAGAGCTTTTCAAATTGCACAAAATGCATAATTGCAAATTCCACATCTCCTGGAGTTTTTAAGATAACTTCAATCATGACTTGGAACCAGCTTGTAGTCCTTATGAAATGTAACAGAAAAAAACAATCTTGTGAAAATTAATGTTATGCAAACTAGTGGTCTTTTAGTCACAGCGACCAATCTTCGATTATTTCAATTAGTCCGACCACCACTAATAGTCATTCATTCTATTGATGCATCAATAGGTCTTCGTTTCTACCTTCAATTGCATGCTATCGGAGACTCAATAATTGCAATCCATGGATAGTTTGATGCATTGTTAGACTTAAAATCCTGCATTTGGGGTCTCACCATCTGTGTTAATAACACTGAAATAAAGAGAACATAGTTTCGACAAATAAGCTGGATGAATCTTAACGGAAACAAATGGCTTCTAACTTTTGCCCAAAACTTCATCTTTTTGTGTTCCGTGCACGAGTTGAGTTTAGTTTTACACCACTTATAGCAATATTCCAGCAATATAACGGCTTGGGACACCAGAAATGGGCTTTACACATTGTACCCATGTGTGGAATCGAACCTGGGTCTTAGGTGTGATGATCAAACACTTTAACCACTAGGTTACCGGCCACCGCCCAGTACAGCAGTTGAACTTACCATCATGTCAATGAGTGCAGGATCTGAACATTCACTACTCAATCCACTTGTGTCCGACTCACACGGTGAAGGGCTGCGGTTGGTCCTGTTGCCTGAGAGCAGTGTGGAGTAGATGATCTTGTCCATAGGAGACAGACTCATGTCGCTCATTGGGCTAACTGGAGACATGGATCCGTAATCACTACAAGAAATCAGTCTGACATAAGTAACTGTGAAACCAGCATGAGTGGTTTGGTTTGTTTTTTGGTTTAACACCACTCAGCAATATTCCAGCTATATGGTGGCGGTCTGTAAATAATCGAGTCTGGATAAGACAATCCAGTGATCAACATCATGAGCATCAATCTACACAACTGGGATATGATGACATGTGTCAACCAAGTCGGCGAGCCTGACCACCCGATCCCGTTAGTCGCCTCTTACGACAAGCATGGGTAGCTGAAGCCCGAGAGATGTTTAGTGGCACAAGAGATATTCAGTCATATCAAAATGAGTTAGTATTACACATGCGAGCCAAAGCATTGAATTTCGCCACTCAGGTAAAATCTACGAGGATATGTATGAAGCCTTAATCTGATTTATTTCACAATGAGTATGGTTTTATACCCCCTTTCAGCATTATTCCAGCAATATCACAGTGGGTGGGGACAACAAATGTGCTTCACACATAGTACTCTTGTGGGAAATTGAACCCAAATCAAGTTTGGCACGATAAGCGAACGCTTTCACCACTTGGCTACCTCCACCAACCCTATTTCACTGTGTTCAGTGGGTTGCTCCAGTGATTATTCCTGATCTGATATAGTATGGTTGTGTCAAAACAGGATTTTGTACACAAGAGCTCCTAAAAAAGTATGCAAAGTTGGCAAAGTAGATCAACATAATTCGGCAGGTTGCATACAAATACAGAGAAATATGAAAAGAATAAACAAAAGCACGAAACAAAACAAATTTATGTAATTACCAGATTAACCTTAGGTGAATAACCCTATTTTCACAGAAAGTTATACGGTTAAATGATTTACACATTGACAGATATACTGATTAATACAGGTCTTAAACAGTCACTGACCAAACATTTAAAATTTTGGCCTATTTCTATGGCAGATATTGAAGACAAATATCAATGTCATTTGTGATGCATATGTTTATTTAAGAAAGGAGTGAGTGAGTGAGTATGGTTTATGCCGCTTTTAGCAATATTCCAGCAATATCACGGCGGGGCACACAAGAAATGGGCTTCACACGTTGTACCCATGCTGGGAATCGAACCCGGGTCTTCGGCGTGACGAGCGAATGCTTTAACCACTAGGTTACCCCACCGCCATTTAAGAAAGGAGTCTATTCCACAGAAATATGTTCCTTCCTACCACGGATACTTTAAGATTATCTGTACATGAAGACGAATCTGTTCATGTAAAATTCGACCTGTTTATAACACATTCGCTGACATTAAGAAACAGTGATTTCTTCTGACATCTAATGACACAATGCTATGATGCTTTCCACTATTTGCACTGTCCACACTTTGCCTTGTCATTATACTATTGTACCACTATTGTACCACTATTGTTATGCACACATGTTGGACTTATGTCAAGCTCATCAAAATATAGCCAGCAAGGCAAAGTATGTCCATGAGAACTGTCGATCTATGCAGATAATTTCTGTGAGAACTGCCGACAGATAAAGATTGTTAGTCACTTATCTGCCACTAAAAGCAGGCAGGACAGTTGTACATTAAGTAATAATACTACCCTTCTTTGGTGAAACTGCCTTGTGATGTCTCGACAGCTCTGGAGATGTTAAACTATGTATACGGACTGGAGGCCTTATGTTCTAGAAACTATCTGGATCTATGGGCCCAGGGATTTGGAGAATTTCTAGCATCTTTTTCTCAGTTATCTAAGAGGAGTTAATTGTTGCCTCTCATTTCACATGACATCAAGTTACCACTGACAACCAGTATTGTGTGAGAACATCATTTTATCATGCAAAACTGTTCCACTGGAGATATTGGTTGGGTGAGATCAAACGGTATCTTGTAGGAAATATTGTTTTGACAGTAGATTTTGTACAATGCCCTGACCCCATCAATTACATGAGATCACAATGCTTTGACATCAATTACATGACTCGCAATGCTATGACGTCAAACTTGATGTCACAATGATAATGCTATGAAATTGCTGCAAGTCTAATGGCAGTACCGTGTTCAGAGAGGTACATTTTTCATGGAAGCTAATGAAGTGATTATTGACGATTAACAGAATCTTGCCCTTGTCAAGTTGTCACAGTCTTCTGATATCACATATATCAACACTCGTTGATAAAAGTAAATATATCCTCTGCAAGCCTTGGATATTTGTAACTTTATCAACTCGTGTTGATACAATTAATATCAGTAGACACTTGGCAGAGATTCTCTATATACCCTGCCATGCCTATTTTGCAAGTTGGATTAGCAGCCAACAGGTGAACATTACCATCAGTCTTTATTGCTATAAGCACTGCTCTTGTGTTACATTAGACTTCAATTTGTAAAGGACACTGTACTGTCAGAGGTATCTTAGTAGTGGTTTGTATAGATTAGTGAACTTAGTCAAGTTTAGAATACAACTGTTAAATACATCCCATTTCTTATTTTTTTTGTTGGTTTCACACAGATGTTTATGGACTCCTAATTGTATCAATTGCTTGATAACAGTGTTAGAAACTACACCGAAATGCTGTATCTATTGCAATAAAGCTGTCTGTCCATAAAAAGTGTTCCCCTTCATCATACCAGCTTCTACATGCCACTTAAAGATGGAATGCCGTTAAAGAAGCACAGACTCATTTAGCTTTTTAGTTTCAACATGATAATTGACCGCCTCTGTGGTGTAGTGGTTAGAGCCTCCTCCCGGAGAGCGGAAGGTCACAGGTTCGATCCCCGACCGCGTCATACCAAAAGACGTTAAAATATGGTACTTGTTGGTCCCTGTCTGGCGCATGGTATCTCAGTGGGCTAGCACTATAAAACCAGCTTCAGTCAGGGCTAGTACAAGCAGCCGCACATACACACGCATGCACGTCGTCATATGAGCGAAATATTCCCAAGCACGACGTTAAACCCAATTTCACCTCACATGATTATCATCATGCAACAAGATATATATATCACTAATTAGATGCAAAGAATTCTATTATAGTGAAAGATATGCAAATTGTTCCTTGTAATGAGTTTCAGCAGAATGTGCTCCTTCACACAAGGATGAGACATTACTGATTATTATATTTGATATCCGATACCCAACACACTGAACCCCAGGACATAAAAATATACCAATAACTAAAAACACCCATTGTGTTTGAGAAGGTGTTAGAAATACTCAACAGATGACATTATCTGAGACCAGTTACCTTGAAGCAGCACTTGCTGTTCTCTCACCCTTGATGGCCCTTGGGTATCGCTGTGGGGTGGTGTAGCCCATGGTGTCGGTGGGGCTGTACATGCCGTATTGTTGTAGGGAGGCAGCTGCTGCAGCATGCGACGTTGGGGAAAACAGCTGGAAGCCTGGAGGGAAGAGGACTGGTTAGATTTATTAACTACTTGTACTTTGTTGTCTGAGACTGCTGAATTCTCTTTTTCCTTTTATGAGTTCTTTCTTCTCCTTCTTACGTCTATTATTCTAAATATTTGAGGTCAAGCAATATTTGGAGACAGTTGAACCATTTTAAATAAAATATTAAAACACAAGCCTGTATGTCTATAGCTCAATTGTAGTTAATGGCATTTCATTCAGGATCAGGTAGGCCTTACAAGGCTAAACAAATGTTAAAATGAATAAAACAAACATTTAAAACATGTCCTCAGTATAGGAACATTAAATCACATCTTGACACATCAGTCACTGGTTGAGCACAGTAATGAATTGAAGCATCACAAAATCATAAGGATACACAAAGAAACGACTTGAAATGATTTTGGACACAACTAAACTTACATGTGAGTAGTATTTATGACACCATTACTGGGATTATGTTCACATATACATGTATACACAAATGAGGCCAAACACAAAAAAATGTTGTGGTTCCGATTACACCTCTTTAAAATTTAGGGTTGGTTGGTAGGGATTCTTTTTTTTTTTTTTATACATTTCTTTTTAGAAGTAAGTACGAACTAATAACACATTTATCAATGGGTAATTGCTTATTCAATCAAGCTTGCGGGCATCGACTTTCTTTATCAGAATGACCATGTCCATTGGAAAAAACAATGGTATCTGAATGCGTATTTTATTCATACCTCTAAGAAAAAAAAAAAGGTTCGGCACCAGAATTCAAGGGTCGGTCGGGTAACATTTTTCTTTTAGACCTGAATAATATCGGCTGTATAAGCAAAAGGTTTCACAAGCTAGACATCCAAAACACCTTACTTAAAAGAGGTGCATCTTGCCTTGCTCAGCATGTGAAAACTTTCTGAATATGACTGAGTTTGGTTTTACGCCGCTTTTTAGCAATATTCCAGCAACATCATGGTGCGGGACACCAGAAATGGGCTTCACACATTGTACCCATGTGGAAATTCGAACCCGGGTCTTTGGTGTGACGAGCCAACACTTTAACCACTAGGCTACCCCTACGTCCCTTTCTGAATATGACCAACATCAAGCGTACAATGCCTCGTATTTTTCATTTTCTTTTTGTCCTTTCTTAATATTTGCAGTGAGGACAATTAAATATCCAGCAGGACCAGTTGATCTTGCAATTCCTTATTTTTTACCTGTACCAAAACAACTTGCTATGTGGCCAAAATAATGCCAGTGCAATGTTCACCTTCAACTCATTCACTCACTCACTATTACCAGGGTAAGCAGTTGTAGCCTGTGATGACTGTGGAACAGTGTTGTAGCCAACCAGGGACTGGTAGTCAGCTGAAGGGTTGGCAGCATACATTGGCACCTGTGGCATGGCTTCTGGAAGTGGTGAACATGTGAATCTTAAAACTATACAGTGAAAGCTCATCATTCCAAGCAGTACTGTTCATAACTTTATCTTCTGGATCAGCAGATTTACAAATTTGTCAATCATGCATGGGAATAGTTTTTGTTTACAAGCAAAGATATTCTTTGAAAGATTTTTATTTTGAAGGCTGGAATTGATGAGTGCAGAACAATCAAGGTTCTAATATACATGTACTACAGAGGGTGTTCCAAAGAGATATTCCATCTGACACTGCTTCAAAAAATTCAATTTCTTTCTCTGAAAGGAATTACCAATCATGATATTTGTGCTCCCAACTCTTTTCAAGATCAACAGAACATTTTTGGGTATAATATGGAGCAAAAATTATTTTATTTCCTCTCCCAACCCCAGAGTATCAAATAGATGGTCCCTGAAGATTTTGGACATTTCAGAAACCTACCTCTGGCCCTGTCCTGTGGCAGCATATTGCCTGCAAGGTTCGTCATGTTGAGGGAGTTGTCTAATAAAGCATTGATGTGTTTTAGTATTTCCATATTGTTAGCAGCTGTAGACCCACTTACAAGACCTTCACCACTATCAAAGTCCTCCACCTTGATAGCTGGAATGTTGGCATTCTGCAGAAAACAAAGTATTCATATGGGTCAAAAAACGTCAAATTAAAGGGTAAGACTTCCACCTGTATCCCCCCAATTTTAACAATGAGGATAAATTTCTTTGCCTAGCATTTTCAGAAGTTAGATATGTCTTTTAGTATGTTCAGATACAATTACAGAAACATGTTAAAACTCCTCCTTATCAGATGAGGGATATATATTGGAGGATATCATTTGACTAGAATTAAATTGAAGGGGGGATACAGGCTGAAGTCTTTCCTTTGGTATGTAGCTACAAAGACTCGCTCATGAAAAGATAAGTTATTTCCTGAAAATATTGAAATACAGACTTGGAGTTGCCATATATATCATATATATAAAAAATGTATGACATTGAAAGGTTAGACTACTTTGTGACTGAGGGTACCCTCATGACCAGGGTTTCAGCACTCACCGATTCAGACTCGGGGATGAGCCACCTGCCCTAACCTTGATCATCTACTTATTCTCTGATTATATATAATTTTGATAGAAACAAATAGAACAGGAGACAGTGAGATGCGGAATCCAGACTTGCTTCATTTAGGACTTTAGCATTGAACATGAGGTTGGTAAGGACAATAATTCAGTTTTGTTTATCTCAATATCTGTTGTTTAACGCTGCACTCAGCAATATTTCAGCTATGGTGGGAATTTAGTTGTGGGACAGATACGTGAGAGGTTGAAATAACAAGCAGGTGGTGCATTAATTTATTGTTACAAATATTTAAGAGAATAAGCCTACCATCAACTCATTACAAACGATTATTTGAGTGATATGCTGCAGATGCTACACGTTGACATTCTTCATGGACAAACACTGAAATTTATAACCTCTGTGGATTAAACTGACTACATACATTAAAATATCATAAATACATACGCTAACATGGGTAGTCATCGTGATTTTCAGCCTTTTCGTAACTCGTAGGCCCTTTGCGAAGCGTCTTATGGTTTGTCAAGTGCCAGCGATGGTATGAGGTACGAATGTCCAGACTTTCCATCTAACACTGATAACACGCCAGACGACATCCAGGTTTTGACGTTTTTACCTGAGAAATAACAAATGCACGAAATCGACAGGTAATCCAATTACCACATGAACGAGCAGTGTTGACAGGAAATACAAATGCGCAACAATAAGCCTTACGTTTGCTTTCATGAATCCTGTACTTGGGTCCCTTGTCCCAAGACGAGTAACCTCACGTGCTAAGGGACGATTTGCACGTGCTTTGCACTTTGCATAAGAAGTGGGTCATTGTCTGCCCTTCGCGGAAGCAGAGTATTGCTCGTGTCGGAACCTAAACGAAAATAATAACACCTTTCTTCATGCATTTAAAAAAAGATTGAATCATATGGAAAATTGCATTAAGATATTGTGAGAGTAAACATTATTTTTTGTCTGACGTAAATTGAATACTTTGTTTCTGATCTGACATGAGAGTACTGGTTTGTATTTATGGATATTCCAAATACTTTCTCAAGTTTTTGTTATTTTTCTTACCTTCATGACTACCTCAGTTATTGTATATATATGTTGAAATAGAATGCCATGTTGGAAAGATATATCAAATCTTTCTTGTGTGTGTGTGTGTGTGTGTGTGTGTGTGTGTGTGTGTGTGTGTGTGGCCTTGTTTCTTTTCACCAGGGATAATCTACTATATACGTTACATAGTCTCCCTGTTTTTACCAACCGACCGTCAATTATGAAACACCCCATTCTGTCCCTCTCATTTCTCCGTCGGGTGATTAAGATAGGGGTGGTCGGGTCTGCATAGGCGGATTGTAATAAAGCTGTATCCGCCCCTGGTCAGTACGGAAGCCTTTTAGGACCATTTGTTTTTTATTTCTATTTTATTGAAATCTCAAGATACTAAGCCTAAATTTAGAGATATTAAGTGAGTGAGTGAGTGAGTTTGGTTTTACGCCGCTTTTAGCAATATTGCAGCAATATCACGGCGGGGAACACCAGAAATGAGCTTTACACATTGTACCCATGTGGATAATCGAAGCCAGGTCTTTGGCGTGATGAACGAACGCCTTAACCACTAGCCCCCCCACCACCCAAAAATATTTAGTTGAAATTCAATTTCTTATCTTGAAATTTCAAGATAACATCTTAATATTTCAACTAAGTATCATGAAATTTCAATTTAAAAAAAATTATAAAACATGCTTTCCGCACGAGACGAATGTGGATTGGGTGGTCAGATTCGGTGCTCGGTTGATTGTATGTCATCATACCCGGCGGCATTAATCGTTCCTCATGACACTGATAGTTGGTTAGTCAGGTCCGGACTCAGTTATTTACATGGTAGCGTCATAAATATAGAATATTGTTGAGTGCAGCGTTAAACAATAAATTAAACACTTTTTAAGCATTACGGTTTGAATTTATAATGTATTGAAGAAGCGTTGTCATAAGCAACATAATGTATGAAATAGTGTACCTTGGGACCTTCTCTATATTACAGGTGTGGTGGTGTAGCCTAGTGGTTAAGGCGTTCGCTTGTCGCGCCGAAAACCCGGGTTCAGCTCCCCACATGGGTAAAATGTGTGAAGCTAGTTTCAGGTATCTCTTCTCGTGATATTGATGGAATATTGCACACAGCGGCGTCATATGAAACTAACTCCCTCACTCATATATAGAGGATACTAAATGACGTTCCGTGTAAACCATTTTTATTAAACGAGTTAATGATTTGGTATCAAACGAGCGAAAGCGAGTTTGATACTAAATCTTTCACGAGTTTAATAAAAATGGTATTTCACGGAAGCGAGTTTAGTATTCCGTTTATTACTCTACAACATAAATTGATACAAACTGCTTACAGTGTGACGACTCTGAGCTTTCCACGTGTCGAGCAAGGCCTAATACCATTGTGACAGAGGTATTAGAATTGTGACGTCATAACTGTAAAAATTATGACGTCATACGTCGAGCGGTATTACACTAGTGTAATATTGACGTAAAAATATTACACTACGGTATCTTCCACGGGAGAGTAATAAAACCTCTTTCACCTGGGGAGATTGGGTAGCCTAATGGTTAAAGCGTCCGCTCGTCACGCTGAAGACCCGGGTTCGATTCCCAACATGGGTACAATGTGTGAAGCCCATTTCTGGTGTCCCCCGCCGTGATATTGCCGGAATATAGCTAAAAGCGGTGTAAAACCATACTCACGCACTCTTTCACCTGTTGGGATCCGGGGGAAAATATGACTCCATTATCTATAGATGAGGGATGAGGTCTGCATCACTTCCGATTTAAATCATCATTTAGCTGACACGTGGTGATATTAATGGAAATGTGTTCTTTGCGGTCTAACCCAACTTTCTCAAAGTCTACTTCCTGAGCGTACTTCTTGCAAATTGGTCATGGACAAATGGGTCATGACATTTTACCCTGTACTACTTTGTTTGCTTGTTGTTTAACACCGCATTCAGCAACAATCCAGTCTGTGAATAATGGGTTCTGGAGCCGACAAACCAATGATAAGTAGCATGAACATCGATCTACGCAATAGTGAGTGAGTATGGTTTTACGCCGCTTTTAGCAATATTCCAGCAATATCACGGCGGGGGACACCAAAATGGACTTCACACACTGTACCCATGTGGGAACTCGGGTCTTCGGCGTGACGAGCGAACGCCTACCTCACTAGGCTACCCCACCGCCCCTCTACGCAGTAGGGATACGATGACGTGTAAATCAAGTCAGCAAGCCTGACCGCCCGATCCCGTTAGTCGGCTCTTACGACAAGCATGGGTTACTGAAGACCAATTCTAATTAGGATCTTCACGGGTACCCTATCCTACTAATGCCGTCTCGGGTGCTAGAAATGATTGATGTTCATTATACTCATGGTTGTTAGAGATCCCAAGTTTGATTGGTCTTACTTTGTTGTTTAACGTCGCCCAAGTGAATGGTGTAACACCTCTTCAGCTCTTGATACAACACAAGGCGTAATGTCAACAAAGAATGGTAGTCTTTATTGCTTATGTACAACTGGTGGGGCAGTGCGAACGGCTTGCACACAACCTACAGAATTCGGCAGAGGCTACCAGAAGAAGGCGGCGACGTGAAGCGGACACTTGGCTGGATTGACTGACAAGTCCTTCCCTTCAAGTCCCTGGCTTGCCTTTCGTCCTGGGCCTCCTTTCACAAAGCACTCAGGTGATCGTAGGTCACTAAAGTAGCTTAGTGCAATGTTAAAGAATGGGAGTTAAGGATGACCTTAGTAAAGGTTGCTTCGTGAAAGGAGCCCCCCTGGTTTGTCCAGGCTCTTCTTGATGTCTGCCGGCTTTGTTCTATCCGTCTCTCTTGCCTGCTTTTAAAAGTAGATGAGCAACTATACTAGCCACATAAACAAACTGTGCATTGTCAAAATATTATCCCAGTTGATAAGTACGATTACAATGTCAAAGGTACATATAAACTTTAATGGAGGGATCATGAGACCGTAACAAGTCGGGAGAATTTCAATTGAAAAGTTTATCACAATGACGTCACGAGTCCACAAGCGGGACAGGGGTCAAACGACCATGTCACAAGCTCAATAACGGGTATGTCCACCATCGGCATTGAGAACAGCAGTGCATCGACGACGCATAGAGCCTATAAAACGTGCAAGGAAGGCTTGTGGGATGTCACGCCAGATTCTCTCAAGTTCTGTTGCAAGGTCAAGGACGTTATCTGACGGATGAGGAAGACGGCGTAGATGTCGATCCATCTCGTCCCAAACATGCTCTATCGGGGAGAGATCCGGTGAATTTGCAGGCCAAGGCAGTAAGTAAACGTTGTGGTGTTGCAAGAAATCCATAGCAACCCTTGCCGTATGAGGGCGGACATTGTCCTGTTGGAATGTTAACCCAGGGCCATGACGTTGCAGAAAAGGAATTGCCACAGGTCGAAGAATCTGATCCCTGTAGCCCCCACCAGTTAAGTTGCCCTGAACAATCACCAAAGGAGTTCTTTGGCGTGCTGTTATTCCACCCCAAATCATCACGGAACCACCACCAAAGCGATTCCTCTAAAGACACAGGCCTGTCCATAGCGTTCTCCCACGTGCAGACGTCCATCACTATGGGAAATGTTAAACCTGGACTCATCTGTAAAAACAACATTTCTCCACCAAAACAAGGGTCTGCGGACATGATTTCGGCACCACATTCGGCGAGCTTGTCGATGACGTTGTGTCAGGATAGGCCGTGTGGCGGGACGTCGTGGTCTGATCCCGTGATGACGTAAACGTTGTCGAACTGTGTTGGGGTGGATACGGCGAAGTCCTGGGATGGTTCGGGCAGTCATCACTGCAGTCTGAAACCTGTGGCGAAGATGGGTCACCCTTATCCATCTGTTCTGTCTTGGCGTTGTTACACGTGGACGTCCAGAACATGGCCGATCGATGACGTCATTTGTGTTCTGGTAGCGTCTCACCAGTGCAGAAATGGTGTTCCGGTGGCAGTGGAAATGTGCAGCCACTTGTCGTTGAGACATTCCCCCACGGACCATCCCAATGGCCTCATGACGTTGTGCAGACGTGACCCTTGGCATGCTATGCGTTTCAATAGCCGTTTAATTTTTTGAACGATCGCAAGGGCAGGGATTGAGCTTTCCAAAGTGACAGTATTGTGTGGCATTCATTTGCTCTGTTTCTCTTTCCCGGAATGCACGTGCAACAACGTATTGCACGTCTCAAGGACGAACCCACTGACGTCACGGAACGTGGCACGTGCATGCATGTTGGATACATGTCACTAATCTCTGAGTTTAATTCTTATATGTTTACACAGGTTTGATAAATTTAGATTTTAAATTTGTGTATGCACAGTTTCTTTATGTGCCTAGTATATATATTTTATACCAATCTGCATGGGTGTGCAGTTCTCACGGACATACTCTGCGTAGGTAGGCAGTTCTCTTGAACATATTCTGCTGAGTTGGCTATATTTTGACGAGCTTGACATATGACAGACAAGTGTGCACAACAATAGTGTTAACCCCCTGGGTGCCACAGGGACATATATGTCCTTCCCCTTCAACCCTCAATTTGAAGTCCAATAAAAATCAAAATATCCCACGCACACAAATACACTTCACAGTTTCGAATTCTGCGGGAATTTTCCTGTTTCTTGATACCATCCACTATTATTTTAGACACAGCCCAAGTGCTGAAAATGACCTTTCCGATAAAAAGCGGACAAATTTACTGTTTTTTTAACGCATAACAAAAAAATACATTACAACATTTAGCAAGGTCTATTTCTCAAACCGCCGAGGTAGTTGCACTTATATTTATACCAACGGATAGGAAATGTCATATTCTACATTTCTGTGTAATTTTATAGCCGTGCGTAGATCCAGGACCACGCGAGCGCAAATCTTGCACAACGTTCACTTTTCAAACTGTATGAAAATGTGCGCCTGAAAAAAGAATCGGCAGCCAGGGGGTTAATAAAGCGGGCTTGACCACCCGATCCCGTTAGTCGCCTCTTACGACAACTATGGGTTGCTGAAAACCGATTCTATTCCGTATCTTCACGGGTAGATCCAAACCAACGCGATTTTATCGTGTTCGTCGACTCAAACGATCCTTTGGCCATTCTCTGCAATTTTGTTGATTGCGTGATACAGAGTGCCGACAGTACGCATTGTACGTTTACGCTGTAAGTCCCTGCTATGGGCTGAATTGGTCCTCAGGAACCCATGCTTATTGTAAGAGGCGACTAACGGGATTGGGTGGTCAGGCTCGCTGACTTGGTAAATCCAACTGCAGTTACTTACATCTCCGGATTGTCTGTTCCAGACTCGATTACTAGTATTTACAGACCCCTTTGCACATTTTTGCATTTAAACGTTCCATAAAATATTGGATTAGATTATTATATATGCCTAATGTAAGATATCCAAAGGAGTGTTATAACATGCTTTTACAAGCAGCTAATAATGGTAAAAATAATTGGGTTTCCAAACTGAAGTACTTATTGTTTCGACTTTGATTGGCTATGTCTGGGAGTCACAAACAGCAAGACTAAGTAGCAAAGAATCCTTTATCGCGGAGCTTTCGACAAGATTAAAATGTTCGTTTGACAGAACTGGCACTCCTCTCTTTTCAGCAGTTCTAAAACTAGAAATTATACTTTCTTTAAAGGTACCCTTGGAACGGAATTATATCTCAAACGATTAAAAATTGCAAAATTCCGTGTGGCCATGGCGCAGTTTCGTTGCAGTTCCCATGGACTCAAAATAGAAACAGGCAGATATGTTAATATTCCTGTAGATAAAAGGGTGTGCACTGTGTGTAATGAAGGCTACATCGAAGATGAATACCATTTTGTGATGGTTTGTGTCCGGTATAAAACACTTCGTGAAAAGTACATACCTACTAAATTTAAATCATACCCTGAGTGAGTTTAGTTTTACGCCGCTTTTAGCAATATTCCAGCAATATCACAGCGGGGGACATCAGAAATGGGCTTCACACATTATACCCATGTGGGGAATCGAACCCGGGACAAGCGAAACCTTTAACCACTAGGCTACCTCACCGCCCCTCACTCACCCTGAGACCTTCATCACTTCGGGCTTTCCTCCCAAATCAAACTTACACGTCATGATATTTTACCTGGAATATTCTTCAAAGCGGTGTTAAGCCCCTGGATACCGAAGCTTTTTTCTGATAAACATTTTCATTAGATATGAAGGTGAAGGTTGAAAAGGAGATAAATATATGTCCTGGCATACACCAAACTCATCCTCACACTTTAATCGCTGATCATAATACCCGTGAAGGTCCGGGTTAGAATTGATCTTAACCGCGTGCTTGTCGTAAGAGGCGACTAACGGGATCGGATGATCAGGCTTGCTGACTTGGTTGACACATGTCATCGTATCCCAATTGCGTAGATCAATGCTCATGCTGTTGATCACAGGATTGTCTGGTCCAGACTCGATTATTTACAGACCGCCGCCATATATCTGGGATACAGCTGAGTGCGGCGTTAAAAAACCAATCAACCACCCATGAGGGAACATAATAATGTTCATTCTTTGTGCCAAAAGTGCGTCAGTTCATGTAACGATTATCACCATACATAATATCTGTGCACATTGCGTTTTGCTGAACATGCAAATCTTGTAACAAGGTAGTTTTTGTTGAAGCAGGCACATTCTTTTTAACTCTCAAGATCGAGCTTATTCGTATTTTTGTCAGGCTTTTCCTGTTACAATTTATTTTTTGGCACCGGTCGTGAAAATATTAATTCTGTGACATCACCCGATAACATTTAAATGTTGGACACAGTTGCGCAATATATTCACTCAAACCAGCTGGTTTTGTTTTCGCTTAAAATTTTCTCTGGGCATGGTGATCGCTTGAACACAATCGTCACATAATTCGCACTCTCTGACTACAATGGCATAATGGAGAAGAGATATACTACTTAAGTCAGGTGTACATGCCTTAGGCATTGTAAATAAATATATGACTACAATTTGAAATGTGTAATGAGGACTCGATATCTTTTCTCAGCAGGCTGAAACTCCTGTTGAAACGTCTCATAAATGACAACATTAGAGTTACCTCCCTTATCAACAGGTCCATATTCACATGGTTCCCGGTGTCTATTGATTTTGAGGAAAGTTGATAATGCATGCTTTTCATAAATGGCACAATTAATGGTGCCGGGATGGTATATTGAACCGTATTAGATTGAGCTCATTTAGTATCAGAGAAAGCGAAAGGAAAACAAGCCTGTTCACCGGCACCGCAAGTTCGTGTTTTCCGCACTGATTTTGTCAACTGTTCGAAGAAGTGCGAGTCGTTGGTTACCTGGGCGATTAGGGAGACAAATATTGATGTGGATTCTTAACAGCAGCTGACCGTGCCCGTTTTCGTTTATACTGGAGATTTTGTTCTTGGAACAGGGCCTCGGACTGAAGCAGAGAACAAGAAGATGGAGGTATGTGATGTATTTTTTTTAAGGGGTCGTTGTAATCGTGATGATGCTGTTTACCAGACGCATGTTATAAGATGTGATTCCCACTACAGTAACTGTCTCAAGCGGAAAGATTTCCGCCCGTAACCCCCGTATTTTTTTAATCATTATATGACTAAGAATATACGCCTATGTTATTTTTTATAAACAGTCTATACTTAAACCTAAACCCTAATCCTAAAATCTAACCCCAAACCTAACCCTAAACCCTCGAAATAATCCTAATAAATAGAATACATTTCAAGCGGGGGTTACAGGCGGAACTCTTGCCAGCCGAATGAAGCAACTGGAAACCAAGAAACGAGGTGCTACGGAGTAGTTTACTGTAGGAGGCTGTACGAGGCGATGACAACTGACATGCATCGTGACGTCGGCTACCAAGGCAGTGACGTCATTACAGTGTGACGTCATGCAAATATTGTACTACATTCTAAGATGCCTATCGGTTAGAACAATCGAAAAAAAAATACATTATCAGACAATAAAGGTATAGTTTTTTGATGACGTAACAATTGAATGACGTTTTCCCGTCACTGCGCCATTCTAGTGTGCCCCCTCGTAATCGAACCATTTTACATTACGTCACAATGTAAGAGACGTCACGATGCATGTCAGTTGTCATCGCCTCGTACGGCCTCCTACAGTAAACTACTCCGTTGCATCCCGTTTCTTGGTTTGCAGTTGCTTCACGCAGCTAACATCACTGGTGGAAACATTACGTTTATGTTTTACGACCGTTAAAATGTGTCAATTCGACTCACAAGTTTTCAGCGACACGGTAACGTTCGCAATGTTTACATTCCCACAATGCAATCGTGGAATGTCGCTACTCAGCTTCATCTGGATGTACTGATCTAAACTTACGTTGGTAGTAGAAATGCGACGTTCATATTGCCCCATATGGTTTACGCTAATGACAGATGTAATTAAAATAATTCAGAGAAGATATTTAATCCTAACGTAAAACCGCCATCAAACTGTTATCATTTGTTTTTTTCTGGTAACGCTCGCCTTAACGTAGGGGGCAGACATATCAATAGAACAGCCACCAGTTAGCCCTGTGCGAGCATTCTTAATTTAGGACACCGACAACGCCGCTTGTTTTCTGCCTTAAATTAATCGTAATTATCCTTAGAAAGTATTAAATTTAGCATCTTAGAAAGATGTAAAGTTCGCTCTACCCAATGTGTTTTTGTAATAAAGAGTATAGTTTTGCCCTGAACTATTATAACATCAAAGCACTCGGACTACCGTCCTCGTGCTTTAATTATAAAAGTTCAGGGCAAAACTATGCTTTATTACAAAACACATTGGGGTAGAGCGAACTTTATTTCCTAAGTACAAAACTCTTCCGCAACCTCTTTATGAAACCGGTTTCGGTTTGAAACCAAAAACATAACAAAAATATGCTATTTTGTCAATTTAATGCATGTAAGACATGGGTAATAAATAAAATACCACACTCGTGACCTTCCTATGTTATCTGACCTCGCTTTCGGTCGGTCAGATCCCATAGGAAGGACACCCGTTTTGTATAATTCGTATGTAATGAGACCTCGTGTAGTATTCTGTATTTATTACCTACGAGGGCGAACATATCAGGGTTCATATTTTTCATACGATGCCCTAGGGCAAAATATCACTTTGTCATGGTGATGTGACGTCATGAACACTGCTATGACGTCACGTTTCTTCTGTGACATTGCGTTCTACATGCAGTGATGGCGGGTAGCCAGCCTATGTTTGAAAGTAGCTTTGGGTGCCTAAATATTTGGGTGCCTAAATATCTGTATATCCCTTGCTCTTGCTCGGGAAATACCAACGTTCAGGCACTCATGTTGTAAACATAGTATGACATTGGCACTCATATCATATCCTCTATTTATTACCTACGAGGGCGAACATATCTGGGTTCATATTTTTCATACGATGCCCTAGAGCAAAATATCACTTTGTCTTGGTGACATGACGTCATGAATAATGCTATGACGTCATGTTTCTTCTGTGAAGTTGCGTTCTACATGCGGCGATGACGGGTAGACAGCCTATGTTTGAAAGTAGATATGGGTTATTTTCCTCAATTTGACGACTTCGGTAATAAACAGAATATTATATTCATGCCCATATCATACTATGTTTACGACACTCGTGCCTTAATATCGGTATATCCTCGCTTTCGCTCGGGAAATACCAACATTTAGGCACTTGTGTTGTAAACATAGTTTGACATGGGCACTCATAAAATATCCTCTATGTAATTTGAGGTTATGATATATAATGAATCGGTCCTCAGACGTGGTGACTTGGTTTATTGCATGTCATTGTATCCGGAAGAAATGGATCGTGTCCTCGCAATATCAATCACTGGCTTGTCTGGTCTGGTCAGGCTTTTTAAACTGCCATCACTTCTTAAGGATGGTGTTGGGGCAAAAACAAGCTATAAAATGATAATTAAATTTATAAATACGTAAAATATAAGATAAACAGCAACGAAAACAAATCAACAACATACAGGCGATCCTTAAGAAGGGTTTTATGTAAAACCATTCACAATTATGTGAAGCAAAGTGACTTAAGTGTGAAGGGATAACTATTTAGATTGTTTTGCTCAGAGTTCACCAAGGGTTGTCAGTTTGGCATGGCATATGTGTATGATTGTTCTGTAAAGTGCATTTTATACAGGATAACTGGTATTTTCATTATTTTGTGTATGGTGGATGCACTGATATGTACCTATCTAGGTTCTCAAGAACATTTATCATTTTATGGATGGTAGACGTTACTGATATAGGGTTGAAGGAATATTATTTATATTTAAGTATTCATATTTAATAATATGTGTATCTATTCATGTAAAACTTAATTGAAAGTGATTACAACAAAGCACAGATGTGGTCTCACCTTAGGCAAGTGAGTTAATTCCCTCAGCAGAAAATGGGTACCCGGGAGGATAAGTCATTCAAAATGTATATTAAGTCATATTACTGCTAACCTTCTAGAGCCCCAAATTAAAGCGTGTCATACCAAAAGACGTTAAAATATGGTACTTGTTGGTCCCTGCCAGGCTCTCGGCATTAATGGGTATAATAAGGACTGGTCAGCTCAGAGTCAGTATAATGTGTCTGAGTGGGGTATTCATGTTTCACTGCGGCATGGTATCTCAGTGGGCTAACACTATAAAACCAGCTTCAGTCTGGGCTAGTACAAGCAGCCGCACATACACATACACATGCATGCACGTCGTCATATGAGTGAAATATTCTCCAGTTAAACACAATTTCACCTCACCTCACCCAAATTAAAGCAGCTTGGGTTATGCAGGGTAATAATGTCCATCACGTTGTATGCGCTTACTGCATCTCCCTGAGGCGTGCACTTCAGCTTTATATAAGTGGACTTATTAATATTATCATTACATGACATTTGATGGTGAACAAAGCATTGTTTTCATTTTTGTTTCTGCATCTACTTGCGACACATGTTCGGCATTCCCACTCTCAGGCCGATGATATGCATAACCCGCAGTACAAATAAAATGGAGGAGTGAATATTGCAATTGTATTTTCTTATGCCACATGCATAATCATTCCATCTCTGTGTGTTATCTTCTGTTGCTTAGCAATGACCAAAGCAAGTATAATATTCGTTAATTTTGATTTAGGAAACATTGAGAACTTTTTAGACATGAATCCCATAATTTCCAATGTGTTAAATGATATCCTTCGTTTAGGAAATGTCGATTGGAGACATTCACCGGTGCCGAGTACATTTACAACAGAAGCTACCCTTGAGCTTTTTATGACTTTGTGCACAGTACATATATTGATGTGTACGTAATATGTAAGGATTACCAGAATTTTCATTAGTCTGAAATAAGTGTAGTCTGGATCAAGTATGTTAGTTCACGATCATGGAAAATGCATATCATTGCATGGGTAAAATCTACAGGACACATACACCTTAAAAGGTTAAGGCTTCTCCTTTGGAATCAACCGTAACTACGTGGTGTGGTTGGGTAGCCTAGTGGTGAAAAAGTTCGCTCGTCACTCCGAAGCTTCGGATTCAATTCCCCACATGGGTACAATCTGTGAAGCCCATTTCTGGTGTCCCCCGCTATGATATTGATGTCATGAAGCCTTACTCAGTCACTCGCTAATCTTAACTGTCAGGGATAGAAATACTTTTTTTTCTAAGTGTGCCTTAAGGCACCAGACAAATATTTTAGGTGTGCCTTTCTGAAATCAAGTATGCCCACAAGTTTTTAGAATAAATGACAATTATGATGATCATTTGAAATTTATTGTTAAATAAAGAAATGGGTTTATGAGCTTTCAGATATGTATGGTATTATTCAATTTGGAAAAAAATAATTGTTTTGGGGATTAAATGACTAAATGTGAGTTATGTCTCTTAAAAAATTAGGCGTGTCTAAAGGGCACCAAGAACATTTTGTAGCCGTGCCATTTCTGTATTTACTGTGCCATGGCACACTAATATATGAGGTATTTCGAACCCTGACTGTGCATAAAATAGGCATGATATCTCTTATCCCACTTGACCCAGTGAGCCATGTGATATGTTTTTCCCCTTTAACGCCAATGCCTTTTGAATGCCCTAAAAAAATTAATCCATGTTTAAGAATGTTTTGTCGTCAAGGATTCTTACTCATTACAGTTTCAAGCTTGTTAAGTGCAACTTAAGAGATTCCTGATGAATCGCTCCTGGTTGTTGAAGGGGATCTAGTGACCAATATGGCTGCCGATTATTCAGCGGTGGTGACTCAACGCAATGTAGTGTCCTTCATCTTTCCGTCCAACCATCTGTCATAAACTGTAGCGTTTCCAACTTGTCATCTGAAACCACAAGACCAATGAAGGTGATACTGATTGCATTCGGTGGCAAAGTACAATTAATTTATGCTAAGTACAATCATAAACTACTTTCCTAGTGAGACATCATCCTTA